GCAGGTACTATAGCAATATAGGGACATTAAATTGACAGCAGCCTCTTTGGTATAGCTTCTTTGTAAGTATCATTCCTTGATTTTACAATTTATAGATGACGTGCTTTGCATTAATTGGATTTGCATTCATTATCCCTGCTGATGTTTGACATACCATGAACTAGACTTAGACATTCATTTTCGTCCGAATTTCAGTTATTCATCCATTCTTCCGAAAGACGATTGTATTCATAGAAATTACAACAAACGAAAGGAAGACCGAATTGCTTGTTGGACAAAATATCGTCCTGCAATTCGTTCTTTTTTCGTTTAGTTTATAACAATGAGGGAGCTACCAGCTCAAAAGCAGCAGGCAACTCTTGCTGCCCAGTCGCTAATCCAATAAAGAGGGACCTGGCAAAGGCCCCCCATGGTGGAGCACCTATTTAAATAATTAACTTGGGGGGGGGTCTTAGTGTGCGTCAATCCTTCCCCCACCCATTGGCAGCAGGAGGGGGCCCTAAATAATAATATGGTGTGGACCCAGTGTCCTCCCTGGCGGTGTGGGCCCAAATAATAATGGAGGATAGACCTCTATTGGAGGGAGGTGAGGACTAATAAAATTACTATGTACACCCATTCCATTAATTTAAATTCCCCACCCATGCTGGCTTTAGAGGACTCTAGGTCCTCCGTTTAGTTTAATAAGCCCCATTCGTGGGACACTATGTCCATCCCCGTTAATTTTTTTAAATAGATGCCCCACTCTCGGGACCTTTTCAGGTCCCCCTATATTGGATTAGATACTAGGCAGCAATAGCTACCCAGTCGCTAGTCTTTTTGTATAACAGTGAGCAGCCATTGACTGGTCGCTGTTTTATCGGCATGTCCATACTCGTAGCATGGCAGGTAGGGGCAGGACAGAGGATTTAACCTCCCTTATTTACTAATATTAAGCATGACGGTTTTTTTCTTCATAAATTTTGTCTTTCAGCTTCTTAGTAGCTTCTTATCTACTAAACAAAAAACATGGGTGGCTCCCAAGTCTAATGCAAACCCAGTGCTCAAGGACTTCTGATCTGTAGAATATATTTCATGTTTTGAGAGCTGCAGATATTCTAGAACAGGAGTAGATAACCTTTGGCACTCCAGATGTTGTGGACAATATATCTCTAATGCTGTTACAGGTTGCATACCCCATGTCCTAAAAAATGGAAAAGAATCTCTGTACAGTAAAATAAATAATAATAATGTCTCTTCCTACACACCAGACAAAATCAAATGCATACACAAAGGAAAGTTCATCTTTGGTACGAGTTGAGATGAATCCGTGGCAGAGACTTTGTGTCTGTTACCTGGAGTGCGGACATTCTGAAACAAACGAAACTCCAGTTATTTTCATATAATAGCTTGCTAATACAGCTTACACAATATCCTCTTTTGGGCATTTAAGCAGTCACTGATTCATGTCACAATAATGCCATAAACATACACACAGTCACTTACGAATAATTTTCCTGTGGATTTCCGCTAAATACACCAATATGCATTGGCTCCCTAGATCTTTCATGCTCCTCCACTGTTAAATAGCATAATTGTCTTCTACATCTCCAAGTAGCTTCATTTTAGATGCTAATTGCATTCAATTTATTACTTGCGAGCGCTCTACCACAATGCCAGGTATTCCTGCCTCATGATGGATTACATTGTAAAACTGAATAAATGAGCAGCTTGTCCAGGGTCATCCTAAACACATAAATATTAAAATCGAGTTTCTTGCTACTTTGTTGTTTTTTTGTTTGTTTTTTTATAAAGTTTGCTTAAATGTTGTCTTAAACCTTGAACTTGCGCTACAGTAATTAAGTCTTTATGGAAAATACCTGGTGTACTTATGCCTATAGGGTACTGATCGTAACACTCCTTATTAATCAGATTACTATAGTTAAAGTGAAAGAATTAACCAAATACAAAATCTTTGTTTCAATGTTTGTTGTTGATATTAGTATGCTGGGAGAATTATTGTGTAAAACTCTGCTGCCTACTGCTAGTCCAGTTCAGAAGAATCAAGACAAGTTGTGTTATCAAAGTTAGAATAAATTATGCAAGATGCAGTAGAATGGAATTTAGAACGGAGAACAGGCATGTTGTTGGGGACACCCATTTTAATTCTTTGGGTTCCAGAAAATCTGGACCAGTCACTCCAGTTGTTCCGTGGCAGCTCGATGTGTGATTTTCACTTGGGGACATGTGTGCATTTTGTATATTCCTTATTTTCATCTCAGAAGCTTTGGTGCCAAACAACAACAACAAGGATAAAACATTATCTTAGGTGGGAGGGAAGAGGGACAAAAAACATATTTTAAAAACAAAAGCAAAAAAATGACCTGTGTGATATCCCAAATCCCCATGTACATTTAAATTACAGGAGTTTTTAGTATCACTCCAGTGGCCATTAAAGTTTACGCACACCTACTCCCTCAAGGCAGACCCCTTGAGGCAGAGATATTTTCCTGAACCCCTACGTGTTTATTAATCCTTAATAGGACACACAAAAGTAACCCCTGTGCTCAAACTCCCCCTGATCTTGGGTGGCTATAGTGTTCATCAACCCCAATACATAGAGAAAAAAATAATAAAAAGTTCCTTGTGCACTATCCCAAATCCCTATGCACGTTTTTAGGACCACTCTAATGGCCATTAGATTGTAAGCTCACCTACCTTGCTAACGCCAACCTTTTAGGTGAATTCTACACTAACAATTCACCTTGTTTTCACAAAGTGAATTGGTACCGTGGAAAAGCTAGGCTCCTTATTATATCTGTCATTCGGTGGATATTAGTTAGTTTACTGCTTGAAGTAAAGGTTGCTGGTGATGTTGGAGTGCAATTTATAGAGTAAATGTGTTCTAGCACGTTGATACCTAATATCATTGACCTCTTATGACAACCCCTTCCTACAGAATATCACTAACAAATTAATAAAAGCTCTTGTGTGTTGCTTTCTTTATAAGTATATCACAGAGTGAATACGCCACATAAAGCTCTGATTCACACATTGTTAATGGATCTGCTTAAATTGGTGTCAAAAATACTCCTTAAATTCATACATTCCTGTCTATTTTATGACCCAAGCGAGAAGCAGCATTAATATATCTTTACAAGAGTATGGTACACTTGTACGACATTTTTGTTCCCACCAAATTTAATCTAAAGACAGAGTAGGACAGACTGCATACATTCAACCAAGAATCATTAGCTTCTTCAGACGGGTTTCAATGGCTCATCACTGCACAATGGCAAACAGGTGAATCCATCCTTCCAGATATCACAGCTTATATTATGTAGCCACCTGCAATCAATATGTAGGCTTTCAAGTTATCAGCTACAAGAAGAGATCTGGCATACTCCGGAATTGTTAGCTACTAGGGGTGGGCTTGCTTGGTGGGCAGAGAGCCTGTTGCTTCCCTCGTCCTTGCCAGTTTGTAAGCATTCAAGTTTCCAGCAAATTATAACTGATCTTATTGTGAATTCATTTACCTAATTGTGATAAATCTGTGGGAAAAAACCCAATCACTGACATGTTTTGGTTTGTTGAACAAAGAAATAGAAATAATGGAGTGTTGCATAGTATAGAAAAGAGCATGACTTCACATTTATCAAGGGAAAGAGTGATTTCCCCAAAAAAATTCTTAAAAACAGAACCTTAGTCAAATAAAAATGTTTAATTATGATATATACAGCGTTTTTTTTTTTTTTTTTTTTTAATTCTGAATAGGTCATCTCTCTGCAGCTAGATTTTCATGACATTTCTTTTAAACTAGACCAGAAGTCCTGGTCTAATGTTTGATATAACGGGCTTATATTTAATGAAAGCAACACTCCAGGCACTATAACCACTACAGCATGCAGAAGTGCCTGGCACCCCTTCTTATGTAAGTACTTAAACCATTTAGTAGGTTGAACTTCTACCTGTGGTCCGCCAGGAACCGTCACACACCTCTCTGTCGAAAGGAAAGCCGAAATCTTCTGTGCAGGACCAGCTCATTGCCTGAGTGCATCATCCAGTATTCTTTGTTTAGCAGTTTGCAATATGTGCATATATAATTTTATATTTTTTTAAAGTTCTTTTTTTTAGTTAATGTGGAGATAATTGTTGGTGGGCAACAAAACGTGTTTTATTGTCAATTATTCTTTTTTGTTCTTTTGTGAACTCAGCAGAGCAAACCTATACTAAGTAAATTTTTCCCTCTGTTTCAAGCAGAGCATTAGATAATATTAATGCTAATACCTGAATGATATTTATATATTATTGCATCATATTTTTATATCGAACAGCTTAATTTGTCACATATGGGAGGTTTTTGAGAGATGTTTTGTGAAAACTATTATGGCCAGGAGACGAGAACACAGGGAATGACTACTTCCTGGCTAATTTGTGGCAAGAACTACATATCTATATCTAGCTATAAATCTCGCTATCTCCAGTTAGGACTGTCTCCAAGACCAAGTATTCCTCTGGGACTTGATGGCTCTTTCGGTTACTGTGAGGAAACTACCTAAAACTAACTTTTGCCTTGATTTAACACTGTTGGATAAGCTTTCAAATTATTTAATATTTTAAGATAAATGTTTACAATTATTTAAGATTAAAAAAAAATACTTTTAATATATATTTAAAATATTAATATATTTTACATATTATATGTTTTCTGATATTTTAATAATTTGAATGAAAAAAAATCAAAAACTCATTCTAAATGTTTATCCAAAAATATTAAATCATTCGGAAATCTTATCCAACACTATTTAATCAAGGCCTGTTTGATGACGTGTTCCTCTGGGAATTTGTCTTTTTTTTTGTGCCAAAGAATTGAATGTAGGATCATATCCATGATCTGCAGAGTTCAATGCTCTACTAAAACTTGCAGGAAACTATATATAGAACATTCTTTAAATTTGATTGCTTCTTAGGAAATATCCGTGGTAGAAAGAGTATCCAGGCACTACAAGTATCTTCAGTTTGATTTATTTGGAAAAGTAAGACACATCAACGTTTCGACCCTTGAAATGGTCTTTGTCAAAATTGACAAAGACCCTTTCAGTTGTCGAAACGTTGCTGTGTCTCACTTTTCCAAATAAAAGCTTGACAAAGACACTTTCAGTTGTCGAAACGTTGCTGTGTCTCACTTTTCCAAATAAAAGCTTGACAAAGACCCTTTCAGGGGTCGAAACGTTGCTGTGTCTCACTTTCCCAAATAAAAGCTTGACAAAAACCCTTTCAGGGGTCGAAACGTTGCTGTCTCTCACTTTTCCAAATAAAAGCTTGACAAAGACACTTTCAGTTGTCGAAACGTTGCTGTCTCTCACTTTTCCAAATAAAAGCTTGACAAAGACACTTTCAGTTGTCGAAACGTTGCTATCAGTGGCGTACTAAGGGGGGGGCGGAGGGGGCGGTCCGCCCCGGGTGCCACCAGGATGGGGGGTGCCATGGCCAGCCCCGCCGCCCCCCACCCCCCCTATGCTGCAGCCGCCCGAGCGCTCTGTGAAGAGCCTCGGGCGGCTGCAGAATTGCCCGGGCGGTGCGTCCATGAGGGCGGACCGCACCGCCCGGGCGCAGCCTGAGGAGAGGCTGACAGGAGGGAGCGCTCCTGTCAGCTCCCTCCTGTCAGCTCCCTCACTGCAGCATTATAGTCCGCGGGTACAGAGAGCAGCTGTCTCCTGTACCCGGCCGGACTAACAGGAAGTGCACACTGAGTGTGCACTTCCTGTTAGTCCACCGGGTACAGGAAACAAAAGCTCCCTGTACCCGCGGACTATACACGGCTCGGCCACGCTACAGGGAGGTAGGGTGGAGGGGGAGAAAGAAGTGGGGGGGGTAGAAAGAGGGGGTGAGAGAGAGAGAGAAATAAGGGGTGAGAGAGAGAGAGAGAAATGGGGGTGAGAGAGAAATAAGGGGGTGAGGAGAAGGTGAGAAAGAAGAAATAAAGAGGTGAGAGGGGTGAAAGAAGAAGAAATAAGGGGGTGAGAGAGGGGTGAGAAAAATAAGGGGGGTGAGGAAAGAGAGATAAGGGGGTGAGAAGAGAAATAAGGGGGGGTGGGTGAGAGAGAAAGGAGGGGGGGTGAGAGAAAATAGGAGCGGGGGTAAGAGAGAAATTGGGAGGAGGAGAAGGAAATTGGGGCGGGAGGAGAGATTGACATTCATCACATACACACAATGCACCCCTTGCACACAGAAAAACACACAGACACACATACACAAGCAATGCAACCGTTACACACAATACATCCCTTACACACACAGAAACACACAATGCATTCATTACACACACTCAATGCACCCCTTACACACATTCAATGCATCCCATACATACACAGAAACACACCTTGCAGTCCTTACACATACAAACACAATTTCACCCCAATGCATTTCACTTACACACATATCAGGACATCCCCTACACACGCCACCTGTGAACAAACTCATTGGTGGAACATGAAGGTGGACCCTGGGACCCAGACCTTGAGCTGTGTAAAGGGCCCCCAAAAAATGGAGCTGCTTCTCGTTCTCCCAGAACATTGATTTTTGTGACCACAGTTACAAACAGCCTCCAGAGATCCTGTTATACACCAGACCAGTGGAGCCAGACTGCAACTAGAGCCCATCATCATCCTCATCTGCTTGTAAGTAGGTAATCTAGTATATTATTCGTGGCACTAATCTCTAATTTACCTCACATTAAAGAAACACTATAGTCCCCAGAACCACTGCACCTTAATGTAGTGGTCCTGGTGTCACCTGTCCCTGCAGGCCTTTTAATGTAAACACGGCGGCACTGCAGCACTGGCGTTAGTTAACATGGCAAATCATATGGCTGGGGCATTGTGATGTCACATGGGGGGCGGCAAACTTTACTTTTGCCTTGGGCGGCAAAAATCCTTGTACCGGCCCTGGCTGGAGGGGGCTGTGTGAGCTGTGGCCGCACAGTGTCCCATAGTAGTTAGGGTGCCGTGCGGCCAGTGCAGCTCACACAAGCAAACAGCTGATAAACTGGCCGCACGGAGGAAATGTGTATGTGTGACTGTCTGCCTGTGACTGTGTGTGACTGTCTGCCTGTAACTGAGTGTGTGACTGTCTGTCTGTAACTGAGTGTCTGACTGTGTCTGTAATGTGTGTGTGGGGCTGCAGGGATTTTGTAGAAGGGGCGGGGGTTTTGTATTGGGACAGGAGTCTTTATAAGGGGGGATAAGCAGGGGATTTGTGGAAGGGGTTGCGGGGGTTTTGTAGATGGGGCAGTACAGGATTTGTAGAAGGGGCAGGACAGAGGTTTTGTAGGAGGGGCAGGGGCAGGACAAGGGTTTTGTAGGAGGGGCTGACAGCGGTTTTGCAAAGTTTACAAATTGTAAAAATAAAAGAAATAAAACCTTTAACATTTTTTACAGGTTTTTTTTTTTTTGGGTGGGGGGTGCCAAGCACAGGATCTGCCCCGGGTGCCAAATGCTCTAGGTACGCCCCTGGTTGCTATGTCTCACTTTTCAAAATAAATCAAATTAAACATACTTGGAGTGCCTTGATCCTCTTTCTACCACTGATATCTACTCCCTGGGGCTGATGCTGGCCTTTGGTCCAGTTTAGCACCCGGATCTTCACAGTTCGTTTTTTTCTCTTTTTGCTTCTCGGGTAATGGCTGGACCTCTCCAGCAGTGGCTATAAACTACATATATAGTACTATATCCAGGCTTTAATACTCCTCTGGGACTCCATGACACTTATCCATTGCCTGTCTGGTTGTATAGTTACTTGTTACTGCAATATTACCTCTTACCCTTAGTTTTACTCTACTCATTTAAATGATTAAACGTGTTACTATTTCTATTAGTGCACGGAACTTTTACCTGTTCGAATGGTCACCATTGTAATATTTGACTTGTGTAGAATGTTTTAAAATGATTGCCTCTGTGCTCAACTCTGCCAGGGCAAACTGTTACACTACTTCAGGGGTTCTCAACCCAGTCCTCAAGACCCTCTACCAGTCCAGGATTTGGGGATTACCTGGGTGTGTCTCAGGTGTTTAGAAAAAGGGAAACAAACACCTTAGACTCTAAGGTGTTTTTTTTTTCTTTTTCTAAACACCTTAGACACACCCAGGTAATCCCTAAACCCTGGACTGGTAGGGGGTCCTGAGGACTAACCTTGAGAACCCCTGCACTACTTGGACAAGACAAACAAACACAAGCTAAAACAGGGTTATTTGCTAAAGTGAGAAACCAAAACTAATTGAAAGTGAAATTCAAATTTAAAAACTAAATACCCAAACTGGAAAATGTCTCTAATCCAGCTATGCTTTCATTTCGACTACTCTGGTCTTAAAATAGAAATTGACTTTAAATTCTCACTTTAGTAAATTAGTTTTTAATAAAAAAAATTATTTTTTTTTAATGAGGTTTTTACCTCGACATGTCTCAGGAAAGGAGAAGATTGTCAACTGGCCATAATTGACTATGCTACTTTCTACACTTGTGCACAAATCCCTTTCAGGTGTATAAATAAATGAAATGCCTGTAAATCTACGGACGAACAAAACGATTCCTTCATATCTCCCTGACAAATTGATTTGTTCGTCCATAGATTGACAAGCATTTGATTTTTTTCAGGTAACCTGAAAAGGATTTGTGCACAACCTTCTGTCACTTTAACAGGGTTCCACAATTGTTATATGAATGTTAAAAAAAACAAAAAAAATAACACAACAGTACACAGGCTCCTTTATCGCATTGTGTGCCCTGAACTTGTCGTATTAACAAAAAAAAAAGCTAATGTTTCTAAGATTGGTAAGAAAAGCAGGCTCCAAAATATCATTATATTTCACATTGCAATTAATAATCATCTAATCCTGCAATTTAAGAATATTGTGTTTTTCCCTTATAAAATGCCTATGTTAGAAATGTTTTTTTTTTCTCTCTCTCCGTATTTTAAAGTTATAAAACACAATAGTTGTAAATATGGATTCATATATTTTATATTTCTTTCAATACTTTGCAAGACTGATTTGCATAATTCTCATTAAGTCTCTTGCTCATCCCAGATGGATCATGCCATTTTTTTTTTGTTTAACAGAATACCACGTGGAACATCTGTTGAATGGCAGATTTTGCTATTGTGTAAAGAAAATATAGAAAAACAATAAAATGTTTTTTTTTTCTCTCTCTCTCTAGATGATATCATTTGTCAGAATTCTGACGTTTCACATATATCTTCAGAGCAAATTAGAATTGTTCAAAACTTCCTTTAGTATTTGCCCACTGCCATAGATAGCTTTCTAAGGGTACCCAGGAACAATGCATTTCCATCTTGGGTGGCATGAGTCCAACAAAAAGGCCTTTAGGGTTGCAGACAAGCCTATTTTTCTCTTCGTACCGATATTGCAGAATAAGTACCATTTTAGAATATACTCTCCCCCTTCGCCCTCTTGTGTAACTTTAAAGGCAAAGACAGTCTTTCTTGTACAAATGTAGTCTGAGCCTCTCCCTTGATATGTTGCAAAGCCACCCATTTTTTGCAAAAGATAGATGAACCAGTTAAGTATGTCAGCAGACCAAATCAAATGTTAGTACAATCAAGTCCTACCCCAGCTGGGGTCTTATGTCTGTTAGGCCGGGGCTGACAGATTCACCTCCTGGAGTAACAAGTAAGTAAAAGATGTTTGAACTTTACTACAGGGAATGCCTCAAACACAATCTCCAGCAGATAGTTTGCTGTAATAACACAGCTTTTAATCCTTATATATCCATCGTATGTTGAAGAGGAAGAGTGGAGAACAAAGAGACATGCCAAGCCACCTAATGGGGTCTAAATACCTTTCTTTAATTATATTTTTTTTACAGGTAAAGGGTATTCAATCTAGGCACATATAGTTTTATTAATGGAAAAACAAAAACAGAAAAGAGACCTGTCCCTCAAAATGTGCTGATCATCTTTCCCCTTCTTCTACACCAGGGTCAGGCAACCTTCAGCATTCCAGATGTTATGGACTACATCTCCCCTGATGCTTTGCCAGCATTATGGATATGAGAGCATTATGGGAGATGTAGTCCATAACATCTGATGTTGCCACAGTTGCCTACCCTTTTAACTACATCATCTCG